AGATGGCTTACCGAACCCAAAGGTTCATCACCGAACTAACCAAAGCCCTCCACCAGACTCTGTCCTGGGCCAACAAAATCCAGTCTCCTTCAACTCCTATCTCCCATAGATCCCGCCTGAGATTATCCTCCCATCTACGTCTAGGTCTCCCCAGCGGTCTCTTCCCTTCAGGTTTCCCGACCAATACCCGGTGCACACCTCTTGAGACCTCATAATTGTCCTCTTTGCCAAGTATTTTAGCACATTTATATCCCAGATGTGGATAGAATTTTAGATACATTACACCGACATTAAATTACAATGCAACACACTTGCTCTGGAGTCCCTAAACAATATCGTAATAGCTTACACGTAGTGAAGCGACTCCAATGAGCGACGGTAATATTTGGTACTAGGGCTATCATCAGTTATTAAGGCTTACGAGAAACATATTTTTCGAATCGGAATTTAGGTCTAGCAGGATGCATCGCTTCTGAATATGGTGATACATGGTTTCTCACCATAACGGGATATTATTTTAAAACTTAATCGTCGTAAATTTAAACCGATTAATTAATGTAAAACATAACCTCTCAGATTGATAACTTTGCTTATATTTTGGTAGATCTAATAATTTTAGTTGATGTTAATTGTAATATTATAAGTTAGAAATATTTCTTTTTTGCGAACTTCGTAATTATTTTAAGCTGTTATGCGCTGATGTGGCAACTGTCTTGAAAGTACAGTTTTTCTTGTAGCATCTGTGACGCAATTATTTTCATAAATGTAAACATTAAATCATATTAAAATTTAAAACTGACACTTGAAACATGTAAATTATTGACTAATAAATTACATCTTTAGTCTGGTTATTGTCGTCATTAAAATATATACAATGAGAATCAATGCCCCTTTACTTAGTAAACATAAATATTTTATTGCCAATAAAGAGAGTTTCCTTTTCTTACATCGACAATTAGTCTCCTGCTGTACAACTAAAATCAGTCAAAAACGTTTTGATCGTTGCTGTTGGTAGCAGTGGGGGTTTGTCAAACATGTCAAAACTCCAACAGAATTCTCTGAGACAAGTTTAACGTACTTAAGATATTCAAAATGATTTTGCCGTGTGCATTTCTGAAGAGACTTCTTCTTTAATCATTCGTTCTACACGTATTCATTTTATGTAATAATTACATACTAACTCTGTGATTTAGTAATCATCTATTTAGCTTAAGATTTGAGGTTCTCGCGGTTGTGATTACGGCGATGGTTAACTTCTGGGTTGTAGAAACCGTGTAGTCTCGTAGAAGTTCACCATCGCTTTCGGAGATCCTTACTGCCTCCATCATTAGGGCTATGAGTTGATAATACAGACAGCAAGGACCTCTGAAACGTCGGTAAACTTCTACTAGACTACACGGTGCTACAACCCAAAAAGACAGCCATCTTGTGTCTATGCAGCGTGATTGTATTTGAGAATGAGTGCATTGATGATGAGTGTTATGCCTTGTTGGGTGCAAAAACACTGTTCAACGTAACAAATAAATATTTGTTCAAACTGCAGTGTTCTGTTTATTTAATCTTATTGCCCGTTACATGTCGAACCCTAGAGCGTTGTGCCATCCTACCAATAATTTCTAGTTATAAAAATGATTTAAGTTTATTTCTAATGTAAGAGACGGGGAAGGAAATTTTAATTGAGGTAAGTTCTGCAACGGTTAAATAAATATGGTCTAGCGGTTAGAACGCTGGCTTTGTAATCCTGGGGTCCCGGGTTCGATTCCCGGTGGTGCCCGAATTTATAACTTGTGTTTGGCAAGGCCGTGGTCTAGGCAACACGGAGTTTTCCTCCGTGGCATCCCAACAATTACTCCATTCACACACAGAAGAAGGCAATGGCAAACCACTTCTGGATCATCTGCCCTGGGGTCCCGGGTTCAATTCCCGGTGGTGCCGGAATTTATAACTTGTGTTGGGCAAGGCCTTGGTCTAGGCAACACGGAGTTTTCCTCTGGGGGCTTCCCCGGTTTCTCCGTGGCATCCCAACAATTACTCCATTCACACACAGACGAAGGCAATGGCAAACCACTTCTGGATCATCTGCCAAGAACGTATATGAACAGGTCCCAGTCCGAGAAAAGGATGGAAGGATCCTGTTCATATGGACCTGTCCTCAGACAGAACACTAAATAAATAATAAATAATAAATACCTGCAGATGTTCTGCGAGAAAGAAACTTCCGAAAACTTCCTTTTTCACGACTTGACGAAGAAATATTCCGAAAACATCTGACTTATTTTTGGACGTGTGTGTAGTGTGTTTTCTTAATTAGCGGAATATCAACAACTACAACACAAAGTACATCAATTAGACTTTTAAAAAATTAAATTGCTCTAGAAAATCGTTCGATCTGTAAAGAACGAAGAAACGAACTTCGCGGTCTGTGCAGGCTATCTCGGAGCCTTTTGTTAGGATAGTAAAATACAGAAGCCTCAGATGGGCTGGGCATGTGGCTATAACAACGCAGGTACGAAGTTCACTTAGAATTTTGGCAACAAACCTATAGGAAACTGCCCATTTGGAAGAAGATGAAATAAATGAAATTAAGGTGTATCTTAAGGAATATCTTGCGAGAATGAGAAGTTGATAACAGTGGTTCATGTTGGAGTCCAACACATATTTTGAACGGTCGGAATATGCTTCCACAGTCCTAGTTTATAAATGTTTTAGCTACATCGTAAAATGTTTCTATCCTGGCTCTCTAAACTTCAGATGGCAGACGTGAATAAATCCAGTTAAATTCTATTATTTTTCATTTAAAACATACCTGACAGAATATTAAACATAATTATTTTATTCTAAACATTCCTCTTTATCAACGATTTTTTTTTATTTTATTATTTAGTGTTCTGTCTGACGACAGGTCCATATGAACAGGATCCTTCCATCCTTTTCTAGGACTGGGACCTGTTCATATACGTTCTTGGCAGATGATCCAGAAGTGGTTTGCCATTGCCTTCTTCTGTGTGTGAATGGAGTAATTGTTAGGATGCCACGGAGAAACCGGGGAAGCCCCCGGAGGAAAACTCCATGTTGCCTAGACCACGGCCTTGCCCAACACAAGTTATAAATTCGGGCACCGCCGGGAATCGAACCCGAGACCCCAGGATTATAAGGCTAGCGTTCTAACCGCTAGACCACCGTGGCGTTTTATCAACGATATAAATTAACAATATTTTAACAGCATTTCTGCGAAAATAAACCTTAACTGTTGACGGATGACCTGGCGTGTTGATGTTTGTGATTTATCAGTAGCGGCCACGGTTTATATTTTTATTCTGAGCACTTCTGGATAGCCCTGTGTTACTTTATCTGTGAGCGGAATAATATAGTTAAGTGAATATTAAAATTTTCTGGATTCCCTGCTGTAATTAAATTATTATCTTCAAAATCAATCCTTGTAGTTTTGATAGTTTATTTATTTGCTAAATACTTGATTTTCTAGATTATCTGCTGTCAGGAGAATTTTTCTCATTGTCATCTCCGCAAATCAGTTCTCATTTTAAAAAACGGGCGTTTAAAACTAAGAGAAAGTTTTACAAGTGGATGTCAGAAGAGAAGAACGTACAGACTAGCAGAACCCCCCAAAACGTTTGATTACGCTGGACATAAAGCAGAGTAAAAACTGCCTAATGGACTACAGAAGTGCAAATACACGAAAAATAACAACAAAAGGAACAATTGGTGA